AATGACTACAGATGTTGAGTATCCTCTCATGGACTTATTAGCCATTCATATATCAATGAAATATCTGTTCAAACCTTTTGCCTACTTTTAAATTGGGTTATTTTTATTCTTATGATTGAGTTTTAAGATTTCTTTATATATACTGAATATAAACCCTTTATCAGATCCGATTTGCAAATGTTTTCTACTAATCTGTGGCTTATCTCATTGTTAACGATAATTTTTGAAGAGCAAAACCTTTAAATTTAAATGTAAAAATTTAAAGTCCAACTTACCAACTTTTTCTTTTATGGATCGTGCTTTTAGTGTTATGTCTAAGAAATCTTTTCTAACCTAATATCACAAAGATTTTCTCCTATATTTTCTTTTAGAAGTTTTATATTTGTAGCTCATCTATTTAGGTCTATGATCCATTTTGAGTTTATTTTTCTGTATGGTGTCAGCTAAGGGTCTAAGTTTTTGCCTATGAATACCCCATTGTTTTAGCATCATTTGCTGAGAAGACTTTTCCTATTGAATTGCTTAGCATTTTGTTAAAAGTCAGTTGACTATAAGTGCAAAAGTTTATTTTTAAACTTTCTCTTCTGCTGTATTGATCTGTATGTCTGTTCTCATGTCAATATTACACTGTTTTGATCACTGTGATTTTACAGTAAGCTCTGAAATAGAGTGTAAGGCCTCCAACTTTTGTTCTTCAGAATTGTTTTGGCTATTCTTGGTTCTTTGCATTTCCATATAAGTTAGTATTGACCTGTCCATTCCTATGAAACAAAACAAAACAGAAAACCTTGCTGAGTTTTTTAAAAATATTTTCTTTTTTTTTTTAAGATTTATTTATTTGACAGAGAGAGATAGTGAGCGAGAGAGCACAAGCAGGGGGAGGGGCAGAGGGAGAGGGAGAAACAGACTCCCTGCTGAGAAGGGAGCCTGATGCGGGGCTTGATCCCAAGACCCTGAGATCATGACCTGAGCTGAAGACAGATGCTTAACCAACTGAGCCACCTGGGCGCCTCCCCTTGCTGAGTTTTTGATAGGGTTGACATTGATTTACTCGACTCTGTAGATCAATTTGGGAAAAATTTCTATTTTAACAATTTTGAGTCTTCCAATCTACAGACATGTTATGTGTCTCCATTTATTTAGGTCTTTAATTTCTTTTAGCAAAGTTCATGGGGTACAGGTATATGTCCCTTTTTGCTAAATTTGTTCCTAAGTATTTTATTCTTTTTAATGATACTATGAATGAAATTGTTCATTTTGTTTTGAGATTGTTCATTGCTAGCACATAGAAATATAATTTATTTTTTGTGTGTTTGGTATCCTGAAAACCTGCTAAACTAATTTATTAATTTTAGTAGTTTTTTTTGTGTGTATAGATTCTTCAGGATTTTCTACATATAACACCATGTCATCTGCAAGTAAAAATTTTATATCTGCCTTTCTAATCTGAATGACTTTAATTTGTCTTCTTGCCTTGTAATGATGGCTAAAACTCTGGTACAATGTTGAATAGAAGCGATATGAGTGGATATCCTTCCTTTTTGCCTGATCTCAGGAAGAAAACATTCATTCTTCCACTGTGAAGTCTTATGTTAGCTATATGATTGTACTTTTTTTGGGAGGGTGGGCTTGTGGGGTTTTTTTGTGGGTTTCCTTTTTTTTTTTTTTTTTTTGGTGATGTAAAGATGAACATTTTCAGCATTATGTGCTATCTTATCTTGTAAAATTAGGAGGACCTCAAATGGCCTAACCACAAGTTCTCTTTCTCATTCTCTTGCCATGAATAAGGTCCTATAGCTAAACAATCCTCCCTATCAAACAGACCAAGTGAAGTTCATGCTTCTCTCTCAGTATAGGGTTTCACTTCCCTGCCAGCCCACGATTCATTCAAATAAGCCAATCACATTCTCTTGCAGGCACCATGGGGCACCTCATCCTTTTGATACTACAAAGCCTGCCTCCTTCAGCCCCTCGTTGTTAACTCTCTTCCCCACTGCAACCACTATGTGGCCCTTAATGGCATGTAGTGTCCTCCTCCCCTGGGCTGTGAGCGTATGTGATGAATAAACTGCCATTGATCTCATCTATCAAGCTCAGGTTTGTGTGTTCAGTCACCCCCTGAATCCTAGGGTGATAATCCCTCCTCACCAGTGGGGCAAATAGGAGGGAATTGATACATTTTGTAGATTCCCTCTATCAGGCTGAGGAAGCATTCTTCTATTTCTAGTTTAAGAGTTTTTGTCATGAATTGATGCTGGATTTTGTTGAGTGGGTTTTCTCAGTTTATTGAGATAATCATGTGTTTTTGCATTTATTCTATTAATATGCATTACATTAGTTGGTTTTCATTTGTTAACCAAGTTTGCATTCCTGGGATAAATCCCACTTGGTCATGGTATGTGATCTTTTTTATATGTTGCTAGATTTAATCTCCAGTATTTTGTTAGGAATTTTTTGTGTCTGTTTATGCCAGTCTGTTTTTCTCCTTTCTTATGAAAACTTTGCTATTGGTATCAAAGTACAACTAGCCTCTTTGAGTTTGGAAATTTTCCCTCCTCATTATTTTACTGCTCATTATTGCTTTTCTTCTATTGTTTTGGGTGTAATTTGCTCATTGTCTATTCTTATTATGCAAGAAATTTACATTATTGATTTGACACTTCTTTCCAAATATTGGTATTTAGAGCTATATACTTATTTTTAAGTATTGTCTTAACTTCGTCTTACACATTTTGAAGTGTGCTTTTTTCATAAGGGGTTAAAAAATTTTCTAATTTGCCTTGTGATTTCTTTCTTCTTAGTCTCATAGATTAATTGTAAACATGTTATTTAATTTCCAAGTATTTGGAAATTTCTCATTTGTGCTATTGATTTGTAATTGAATTTAGGTCAGAGGACATACTCTGATTGTTTTATGGTTTACCATATATGGTCTGTCCTGGAGAATGTTCCACATGTACTTGAAATGACTATTTCTCTGTTGGGTGGAAGGTGCGTGGTTTTATGCATCTTATTATAATCTATATCAGGTTAAATGAATTGATAGTGTTCAATTTTTCTATATCCATTTTTATTTTTATATCTATTCATTCTATCCACTATTGAAAGTAGGGCACTGAAATCTCTAATTATAGTTACCTATCTGGTCCTTTGAATTTTGTCAGTTTTTATTTCTTCTGATTTGAGGCTCTTTTGTTAGGTGAGTATAAATTAAAAATTGCTTTCATGATATGTAGATGCCTATTACTATAAAATATATCTGTCTTTAGTAAGAATTCTTAAAGTTCATTTTGTCTTAATGTAGCCATTCCAACTATATTAATATCCTTTTATTTTCAACTATTTGTGTCTTGCAATATGTATTATTTCTCTTATAGATGGCATATAACAGGGTAGTGCTTTTTATTTATTTATTTATTTATTGTTTTATTTACTTTTTATTTTCATTTAATTTTTAAAAATTTTTAAAATTTAAATTCAATTAACATATAATGTATTACTGGTTTAAGAGGTAGAGGTTAGTGATTCATCAGTCTTATATAAAATACCCAGTGCTAATTATATCACATGCCCTCCTTAATGTCCATCGCCCAGTTACCCCATTCCCTCCACCCCACCCCAGCAAACCTCAGTTTGTTTCCTATGATTAAGAGTCTCTTATGGTTTATCTCCCTCTCTGATTTCATCTTGTTTTATTTTTCCCTCTCTTCCCCTATGATCCGATTTGTTTCTTAAATTCCACATATCAGTGAGATCATGATTACTGTCTTTCTCTGATGGACTTATTTCACTTAGCATAATACCCTCTAGTTCCAGCCACATTGTTGCAAATGGAAAGATTTCAATTTTTGATGGCTGTGTAATATTCCATTGTATATATAATACATACCACATCTTTATCCATTCATCTGTCGATGGACATCTTGGCTCTTTCCATAGTTTGGCTATTGTGGACATTGCTGCTATAAACATCGGGGTGCAAGTACCCCTTCGGATCCCTACATTTGTATCTTTGGGGTAAATACCCAGTAGTGCAATTGCTGGGTCACAGGGTAGCTCTATTTTCAACTTTTTGAGGAACCTTCATGCTGTTTTCCAGAGTGGCTGCACCAGCTTGCATTCCCACCAACAGTGCAGGAGGGTTCCCCTTTCTCCGCATCCTCGCCAATATCTGTCATTTCCTGACTTGTTGATTTTAGCCATTCTGACTGGAGTGAGGTGGTATCTCATTGTGGTTTTGATCTGTATTTCTCTGATGCTGAGTGATATTGAGCATTTTTTGTATGTCTGTTGGCCATTTGGATGTCTTTGCAGAAATGTCTCTTCATGTCTTCTGCCCATTTCTTGACTGGATTATTTGTTCTTTTGAGTGTTGAGTTTGTTAAGTTCTTCATAGATTTTGGATACTAGCCCTTTATTTGATAAGTCATTTGCAAATACCTTCTCCCATTCTGTCAGCTGTCTTTGGTTTTGTCAACTGTTTCCTCTGCTGTGCAAAAGCTTTTTATCTTGTTGAAGTCCCAATAGTTCATTTTTGCTTTTGTTTCCCTTGCCTTTGGAGATGTATCTAGCAAGAAGTTGCTGTGGCCGAGGTCAGAGGTTGCTGCCTGTGTTCTCCTCTAGGATTTGGATGAATTCCTGCCTCACACTGAGGTCTTTCATCCACTTTGAGTCTATTTTTGTGTATGGTGTAAGGAAATGGTCCAGTTTCATTCTTCTGCATGTGGCTGTCCAATTTTCCCGACACCAATTGTTGAACAGACTGTCTTTTTTCCATTGGATATTCTTTCCTGCTTTAAGATCAGTTGACCATAGAGTTGAGGGTCCATTTCTGGGTTCTCTAGTCTGTTCCATTCATCTATGTGTCTGTTTTTGTGCCAGTACCATACTGTCATGATGACGACAGCTTTGTAATAGAGCTTCCAGTCTAGAATTGTGATGCCACCAGCTTTGGTTTTTTCCAACATTCTTTTGGCTATTTGGGGCCTTTTCTGGTTCCATACAAATTTTAGGATTATTTGTTCCAGCTCTGAAGTTGATGAACAAATCCAGCATTAGGATTAATACAAAATCTTCTTTCTTGAACATAAGCAAATGCATCTCTCCTGGAGATTCCTGCATTTCCATGGACAAGAACTTTTCCTCCAGTTTGTAAGCTTCCATCAATAAATTCTTTAGTCATGGGAAAATAACGTATTATATTTTCAACTGGATTATCTGCAATATCCAAGACTAAATATCTAAATAATTGTTGAAAGTTTGGTTTAACAAAGTTTGCTTCAATATTTTGTCTTATGCATATTATATGGGTTATTCCATATTTCTGCAGTATAGGTAGCTTGCTTTTCATAGCAGAAGAATATGGACCTAAAAACAATCCAGGTAAAATTTCCTGCATCTCTCGTCTCATAGGGTATGTCCATTCCTCGGCGTCATCTTTGCACTGCAGGAGCGAGGGGAACTCCAGCTTCACGTCCTCCATGGTCCCGGCCCCGGGGCTTGTCGGGTAGTGCTTTTTAAATCCAGCCTGACAACTCCTTTTGATCAGAGTGTAATCACAGTAATGTAATTATTGATTTTGTTGGAAATATGTCTGTATTTTGCTATCTGCCTTCTAGATGTTTCATGTATTTCTTGTTTATATGTTCCTCCTTTGTGGCCTTCTGTGTCAAATATCATATATCATTTAAATTCCTTTGCCAATTTTTTTAAAGTACATTTGTGGAGTTATTTTCTTAGTGGTAGTGTTAGAGATTACATATGTCATAATTTATCACAATCTGTGTCAGGTTAATATAGACTTAATTCTGGTAAAATAAAGTAAGTCTGCTCCAGTACAGCTTCTTTTCCTTCTTCCTCCTTTGTACAATTATCGTCATATAGATCACTTCATTTTAGTTTACAAACTCAGCAATAAGGGTTATAACTACTGCTTTATATAATCTCATGTTTCTTTGAGTAATTAAAAGAAGGAAAGAAAAAATATTTATACTCTTTATTTTTGGTACTTACCCACATATTTACCATTTCTGGTGCTCCTGGTTTCTTATTGTCAATTCGAGTTACCATCCTGAGTCACTCTGATTAGTATGAAGGATTTTCTTTAGTATTCCTTTTTAAGCAGATCTAAGATCTATCACACTTTTGTGGGTACAGAATTCTTGGCTGGTGTTTTTTTTTTTTTTTTCTTCCCAGTACTTTGAATATATTCCTCTACTGTCTTCTTCCCTCCACTGTTAAGGCAATCCTAAGCAAATTTGGCTCCTACTTTCTTTTTGAACTCAAAATCCAGGTCCTTTCTAGCCTACAATTCTGGCCTTTATATCATCCTATTTTGGACTCTCTTGGTCTGTGTTTCCTATTAGTCCTGAAAATTCTTGAGACTAGGCAATTGTGCCTCCCCATTATACACAGACTGATCTCTGGAAGAAAATAACTTTGTTACTTGTTCATAAAAGCAATGCTATTGCCATGGCTGGTCAGAAAACCGTCATGAGAAAATATAATCGTTGAGTCTTGGCATAATTACCTCTTTCTTTGTAGAACTAGCCAGCTTTCTACCATCCTTTATAATGTTTGGTTTGTAAATACTCTGATAGCAAATTATTAAAGAAACCAGACTTCTGGTTAGATTTAGTTCTTAAGCTGCTAGGACCACTGTCTTCATTTTATTTACCAAGCTATCAAATATAAAAATTAGCCCTGGGGTGTGGGGCTTTTCTGACCCCTACATGATTCATGCAGTCATGGGTTTAACACAGCTCATTTGTGCATTCAAAGAATGCAAATTACAATCTTTACAATAAGCATTTTACCAAAAATTAAAAAGGGAGTAAACCTATTTTATGTGCTTCCTTGTTAAAAGAAATATTATGTTTAACAAAAATTGGATATCATGGCCACCTCTTTTTAATGGCTCAGGAAGAGTATATGACTGTCCTAGAAGGCATACTGTTTCATGTAAGTGAACATAATGAGAGACATGGCTGGAATCCATTCTATCCATTAAGATCCAGTCAGGAGACAGTCACACTAGCCATTTAACAGAGAGAATATAACACAAAAATTACCAATTAGGTATGAAGTTAATTATGTGACCAAAAAGACAAACAGAAAAAATAAGGAAGCAACTACAAGAAGCAGCCGCCACCCCTAGGACTGGGTAAACAAAGGGAAAGGTGACTGTATGAAAACTTAAAAGCTTAGTGAAGAAGCCACACGGAACTGAAACTCAGATTTCTAAAGAGGGGTCTCCACGCCACTGGTCCCGGGTATCTCTGAGGAAGTGTGCTTATAAGAAGTGTTGTTAGGGTTGTGCAAGTGTATGTTATGGGAAGGAACTGCCATCTTGGGGTGCAGAAGTGTTGCTGGGTTGATGCTCCCAGGAACAGAAAGCACACTGAGAGCAAGTAGTTTCTTCTTTCTCCTTCCGCCTGACACTCTCCTTCTATCACCTCCCCATGCAAACACACACCCCCCACACACACATTACCACCACGACCACATACCACCCCACATACATACCACATACACATATTACCAAACATAAAAACACACGACCATGTACACACACATCACCATATACAGACATCACCACATATACACAAACACCACATACACAACCACTACAAACACTGACACACCCACACACTGCAGTTGGTAGAGCTTAAGAGGGAGCCAACTAGCAAAGCAGAAATGTGGCTTGCAAAGTCCACATTCTGACATCAGGTAACCCAGCAGAAGGGTAGATTTGGTGCTGAGAAACAAAAACTTAGGAATTGATATAGTCATTTAACTCTCAATAAAACCTTTCCCCTATCTATCCAGTATCTTTGTTTCCTATGGACTTGAGATCACCGGGATATTCCAGTATGAATTAATCAAATGTTATTGTGGTTTATGGTTTCCTATAATATTAACAAAGGTTGAATCAAACTCGACTCGACTTCCTATTATTTGGAGGGATTAGTAGGAGAAAAGGGAAGGCGTTACTCTTTGTTTCCATAATGGACCTAATTTTATTGTTAACCACCTCAAGTATGTTGAAGGTGTATGGAGTGTAAATTGTAAATACATAAAACTAAGCTGTGCCAACTAATAAGATTCCCAACAATTCCCTAAATGTCTAACCTTGGAAGGGGAGTGCAATTTTAATGGTGGATATTTCAAGTTAGGCAGCAGGAGATGATGGAAGAAAGAAAAGACTGTGTGAGCTAACAGACACAACATTTCTTCAATCTCACCTGCATTTCTCAATCACCCAGAGGCCACCAGCCTAAATGTGTGGTGCCTTCCAATTTCTGGATGGAAAAGCCACTTTGGAGATACAGAAAATGACCAAGGACATATGTATCTAAAGTAATAGAGCTAAGATTTCTTTGAATTAAGAGAAAGGTGGAAATAATTTTATTCTAAAAACCTGGAATCCATCACAGGGAATGTTAGATTGCACAAAGAACAATCTTTGGTGCATTAGAAGGAGTCTTTAATTACTTTCCCCCCCCCTTTTTTTTTTTTAAAGGTTTTTGTTGTTTTTTTTTAAAGATTTTATTTATTTATTTGAGAGAGAGAATGAGATAGAGAGAGCATGAGAGTGGGGAGGGTCAGGGGGAGAAGCAGACTCCCTGCTGAGCAGGGAGCCTGATGTGGGACTCGATCCCAGGACTCCAGGATCATGACCTGAGCCGAAGGCAGTCACTTAACCAACTGAGCCACCCAGGCGCCCTACTTTTTCCCCTTTAACCAAGATTTTAAAAACTAACAGCATCTTTGTTAATTTAGGTGTGAAAGAATCTTTAAAATGGCTGTAAAGATATATACTGATAGATCTTGTTACGTGATGGTACTTAACATAAAACACATGTTTTTACTTTATGCTAAGGAAAGCTTGCTACATACGTGCTTTTAAAAAAGCATAGAGCCTTCCTCCCAGTCATAAAGAAGTGTGGTCTATAAATTCCAAAGGATCTTGAAACTTTTGTTACATTTAAGAGTTTTGAAGAATTCTTGAAGCCTGGGTGGCTCAGTTGGTTGGGTGACTGCCTTCTGCTCAGGTCATGATCGCAGGGTCCTGGGATCGAGTCCCACATCGGGCTCCCTGCTCAGCGGGGAGCCTGCTTCTCCCTCTGCTTGCCGCTTCCCCTGCTTGTGCTCTGTCTCTCTCTCTCTGACAAATAAATAAATAAAACCTTAAAAAAAGTAAGAGCTTTGAAGAATTAGGGAAATATAGGCTATACTCCATATTTTATAAGAATGGTGGGGTTTGTGGGTTTTTTTGGGTTTTGGGTTTTTTTTGTTTTGTTTTGTTTTTTTTTTTTTTTTAGGAATGGTGGTTTTCAACATAACATAATCTTGCAGAAGGGAAGGGTAGACTGGTATGGGCTATTTAAAACTTTTCCTAGGTGACTTTGATATCTGCCCTCCCCTCACACACCAGGTTTACAACCAGTGGAAGAAGGAAACATGGTGGTGGAGAATTAGAATTTCAGAAAAGATGTTACCCCTCTACAAAAAGATTTTCCATCTGATATTTGTGATTTTTTTATTATTTTGCATTACAAACTGTCTTAAATAACAATAGGCAGAGCACTAACAAGCACCACCAAAAAAAAATTTTTTTCATTGATAACAGGGGATTAAAATGGCCCATCAAGGGGCACCTGGGTGGCTCAGATGGTTAAGCGTCTGCCTTCGGCTCAGGTCATGCTTCCAGGGTCCTGGGATTGAGCCCCGCATTGGGCTCCCTGCTCAGCGGGGGGCCTGCTTCTCCCCCTCCCTCTTCTTCTCCCCCTGCTCATATTCTCTCTCTATCTCTGTGTCTCGAATGAATAAATAAATTTTAAAAACCTTTAAAAAAATAAATAAATAAAAAATAAAATGGCCCATCAAGGCAGGCAGCTCAGTGTGACTGGAATCTGTCACAGGGAATGTTAGATTGAACAAAACAGTAGAATAGGAATGAAGACACAATGTAATTAGGCAAGGACTAGTCATGCTGAGACAGGGCCAAGGGACATGGAGATCAGAGCCTCTGGGGCTGCCCAAAGAGTGGGGTACAGGAGACAGAGGACCTGCCAAGAGCAGACAGCTGCTCTGGGAAAGGGCACTTCTCTGGGGGACAGGGCCCTGGATACAGGCTCTTGTTCCTAACTTTTCTATAATATAGCTAAAAAATTTCATCCTGCCAGGTCAGCAGCCCAGCTGAGGGCTTTTCCTTTTCCTGATGAGATTTGTATTCTACTCCTGCAGTTCAGACTCCCTTAACTTTGAAAAACAGGTCTTGAACCAACCCAATATCCACATTATCTGAACATTATTATCCCATATTTCTCCTGTATTATCTATGTTAGAAAAACTTAGAATAACTTTGTTGCTGCTATCTCAAGTTTTGCTTTTTGTTTTGTTTTGTTGTTATTATTATTTTTTTATTTCTAAGTAAACTCTGCTCCCAACACGGGGCTCGGGCTCATGAGCCTGAGCTCA